TAATAACTTTTTATATTGTTCCAATATATCACAATAAATACTAAAAAAGTAAAAGACATGACTATATTTCATTCACTAAAAGTCAAAACTTAAAACAAACTATTCAAGAGAACGTTCATGATGCTTATGAGATATCCAACACATCATTTTCATCAAACACATTTGAATCCGCTTGTGACAAAGTTGTCTTAACATCTTCACTTTCATGTACAATTCATATGCAAAATTAATTAGTTAAATATTAAATATAATTAAATTTTCAAAATTAATAATATTTAAATTCACATAAAAAATATTACTAGTTTGAGTTCGGGAAAACCTGTGCAGCCAATTTCAAGTAGTAACAAGTGTTTGGACATTTTCATAATAAATATGCTAAGTACATCACGCACCATCATTGAAAGATCGGGATATTTTCTAGAATGGTCCTTCCAATACATGACAACATCATCTCTTGAAACTTCTCAAGATCAAGTTTTCCTCTTAGTAAAGATCCAATTCTGACTTTCCATCTCTAAAGGCAGCATACTTTTTATTTTTTATATATTTTAAATAAATATTTTACTAGGCCCACGGGCCAGCCCTGCCCAGCCTCAGTCAAGCCTCACGGGCCACGGGCTTACTCGGGTCGGGCTTAAAAGCCTCATTTTAAACGGGCTCCAAAAATTCTAGCCCAACCCTACTAAATCACGGGTTAGGCTGGGTTGGCCCAACGGACCAATCCCATATTGACGGCTCTACCTGTGGGTGTTTCTCCCGCGCCTTTTCCTGCCCTCGTTAATTCCTTACGTCAACATTCCACATACCATGCCTCATCAGCTTTCTGACAGCTCACGTGTCCTGTCTTTTTTCTTCCACCAACACATATTTCTTTTTCTTATTTCATCTGATGTCACTAATTTATAAATTATGACATCTTCTCGTATTTTCGTCGTTAATTGGGATAAGTAGTAGTTTAGTTCCTTGATAGTCTTTAGATGTACTTCAGTCCCTAAATTATACTAGTAGGTTCTGAGTTCCTTGTGTTCAATAGTTATAAATTTGCAAAAATAGCGAACATTCAGTGTTTTATTTATTTGAATCAACTGTGCCTTAATCTCAAATTATCCGAGTTCACTATTGGTATCATTCACCTCTTTCCCTTTTAGAAATTAATATACTTTTGATTCTTACATACTAAGTGCATTTTAATCATGAGAGCTTATGCTCAGAAATGGATGCAAGATTTAAGACTGATAAATTTTAATTTTAACACTGAACTAATTATACTCTTAAAATTAGAAATTTTGAATATCATATTTATTAAAAATTTAATATATTTTCAGTATTTTTATATGTTATGTAAAAAATATTAAGTTCAACTGAATCTGTAGCTAGAAAACATTTTACCTCTCAGAATAATGAAATCGTATTGTGGAAACCAAGAGGTGGCAGATGTTTCAAAATCCAAATACAAGACACAAGCATTGATTTGCTGAAGGCCTGTCATCCTTCATAAGAAACAAAACACACTCGTGCACTCTTGGAAACTTAAAATTACAAACACTACTACTTTGTTTCTTGATCTGAAAAGTCAGCATTGAAATACGTTATGCAAATCACCTGAGATTATTAATTTATTGGATTATGTTTCATTAGTTATTATATTAAAAAAGAGATTATATATATGTCCACATGTGACTTGCCTAGCTAGTATACATTACTCTATACAGAGACCATTTCCAGAAAATAAGCTCACATGTTGGTTCTTATAATTTGATATAAAAAGAACTTTGGAATTGATTTTGAGTTGCAAAAACAACCCACGAACCCAATCCCAAGATTTTCCTCAAACACACACCTAGTCATCTATTGAAAGGTTCTCTCTCTAACTAGACCATAGGCAGTAGTTGAAGAAGATGGAGTTGTCACTAATTTTACAACATTTAAATGTAACTCGGTGTACTAAACTTCTCTAATGCGAAAAATTTGAAAAAAGATATGATCACATTAATAGCCTGTTTGATCAAGTTTTTTTGGGGGGCAAAAAGTACTTTTTTGACCTTAAATGCTTTCATCAAAAAATTGAGGTGTTTGGTCACGCCTTTAGAAGGAAAAATGGTACTTTTGAGAAGAAGCAGAAGCAGAAAAAAGTAGATTTTCTCCAAAAGTATTTTTCTGAGAAGCACTTTTTAGAAAAATACAGTTAGAAGCAGTTTTTAAGAACTTGGGTCAAACACTAATTACTGTTCAAAATTACTTTTCAAATTAATTAGCCAAACACAAACTGCTTATCACAAAAAACTCTTTTTAAAAAGTATTTTTGAGAAAAGTACCTCTCAAAATATGCTAATTTTAAAAGTTTGACCAAACATGTTATAAGTCAACTATGTGCAGTTTTACCTTGCATTTAGACCAACAATTAAAATTGGAAAAATGTTTAAATTGGCATTGTATTATTCAAAACTATTCAAAAGAAATTCTCAATTACAATTTTGGTTTATTCATATTGTTGTTGTTAGCAAATCACCTCGTACTTGCTCCTAGCTATTATGGAACTCTAGCATAAAACTAATAGACTCCGGTGTCCAAATTCTTCGATGAAAACGGTCCAAATTTACTCCTCAACTTTTGACAATGCTTTAAAATTACTCCCAAATTAGAATTCTACTAGGGGTCTACGACCAGCAAAGTTGAGATTTCCAAAAAAAATTCAATCTGCGAGTTTTTCCTATGGCAAAAGCAAATGGTTCATAATTCGTGTACAAGTATTAATATTAATGTGTATGAATAAGATTCAAGAAGTTAACCAAGAGCTTTAGGTTTAATACAAAAGAAACTCCAGCTTTCATATATGCAAGCACAGATTCGAACAGCTTTACTCAATAATACAATATTCTCTCAAAAATTAAAACTTTGTTCCTTTTGTGGAATTTCTTGTAGCCAACACCATCCATAAGCCATACTTTAATATGATAACTGATGCATCTTTAATTGCTTAATAATTTCTCGAAATATTTAAGTATTACGCATAAGATTTGCGTGGACATTTCATTAAACTTAGATAAAATGCAATTACAACAATATATTTGAAACTGGTTATCTTATCATTAATGACATGTTGTCATCACTTATCAGTAAGGCATTTTGTGTTAAGACAAATAGATTCTAAGGGTGTTTTTGAGTATATATATTTAGCATTTTTTACAAGTTTTTTTTTTATTTTTAGCTTTATTTCTCGTCAAACAATATCTATATCTATACTAAAAGCACGAAGACCCTTAGTAAAATATCGTTCGCCTTTTTTGCCCTTTTAAAAATAGAGTTCATACACGGCAAAATAGTCATTTGATTATTCTCCTAGCTAATATTTAGGAATTTGAAATTAAATTAAATTTTATTTATTTAATCTTTCCTTTATCTAAACTATGTATGAGGTCATAATCTTTAGGACTACCTTATATAAATCATTCCTTAATTTTAGCTACGTAATATAGTGTAATACTTTCCATGTCCACCCTTATAGGGTTCGATTTATATTAACTTTTTCCTTTTCTTTTGTAGTTTGTATTATTGTCAACATGAGTAGATATTTAGTCAAAAAGAAAAATTTCCCACAAACTTGATTATTAATTGCCTTAAATTGTAAAAGAAAAAAAGGAGGGGGGGGGGGTAAATATCTCAAAAAATATAGCTTACTTATTTATAAGTTTAATTTCCTTTTTTTTAAATGCATGTTTTTACTTGACTCAATTTGTCTCTTTATATTTTCAGGCTTCATTGCTGCTAATTTTTCGTTGTGACATTAACATCAGTCAATTCAAGTTCTCATGTTTTAGCATTATGTTTAGTGCTTTCCGGTTGGTTGAAACATATATGCATGACTATTTCGCACCATAAATTGTATATAATTTTTCATCTCGAAATCTCTCATGTTCATCATTTTCAGGATTATAGTTTAATTTTTTTTATACAATATTATATCAAATTTTGTTGTTTACATGGTCACTTAATTTATTTATAGGAGTTATACGGCCAATCTCTTTATTCGAAAATCTCTAAAAAGATCAAAGTATTCAAAATTATAATTTGTGTTATTTTGACAGATCTTTACAGAATTTAAATGTATTTTTGTGTTATTTGTTTGTCTTAAGTATTAGGTTATATGTACAACAATAATATCCATACGATATTCTCACATAAAGCCCTCAACAATCACAATAAGACAATATGAGGAATTCTGCGGGGCATTCATTCATTAGTGAACTAACTACATGTGATTGAAAATCCTATTTTTTAAACATTCACTTTTCCTTTATTTTTTATTTTATTACTCAAATATATTATATATGTAATTTTTAAAAATGTGTACATTGATACTGGGAACATGCCTAAAGTGTTGGAATTACATAATGAACACTTATCAGTTAGTTTGATTAGCTAGTTTTATTTCAGTTCTTTTGTTCAGCTTTGGCCCAAAGTTTGGCCCACATGTATTTATAAACTTCAGGATTACAGCCCATGTAGAAGAGTAGTGAGTTTACAGTTTTGCCCCAAGTATAAATATAGGGTCTAGAAGACTCTGTACAGATGAAGAAAATGAGAATGGAAAATATCGATGCTTTCTTCTGAGTTTTTCTCTTTCTCTCTTCTTTGAAACTATATCCAATTTCATACGATTGTTAATCTTCACATGGTATCAGAGCCATGGGAATTACATAGATCTTAACGAAAGGAGTCGATCGATCTTACCCTCGTCGTTTGATTCGAAGGTTTTGCTCGTTCGCTATTTTTGTTGCGACTGGTATCCGACAACAATTTTGTTTTCCGATTCTTTGCTGGAATTTGGATTATCAGTGATTTATTTCTTCGATTCTTTGCTGATTTTGGATTATTAGTGAGTATTTCTCGATTTTGTCGAGTTTCATTTGGAATTTGTTTTGGAAACTTATGTTTTTTGTTTGACAGAAAAACCCTAGAAATTCTCTTTTGGTGAAAAGTATTTTTTTTACCTTGCTAAAATGGTGAATACTGAAGTTCCTGTGGATGCTAGTTCTAGTAATAATTCTACATACGTTCCTGACTCCACAAGTCCTTTACTTCTCCACTCGTTTGATATGCCTGGGATGCGTTTGGTGAGTACTCCATTTTCTGGGTCAGGGTATAGAGGATGGAGAAGAAGCATGATAGTGTCTCTTTCTGCTAAGAATAAAATAGGATTTGTCAATGGTTCATGCCCTAGACCAATTACCATTGATGTTGCAAAGCTGCGTCAATGGGATAGATGCAACAATATGGTAATTTCGTGGTTAACTAGTTCACTTTCACCAACTACAGCTGAGAGTGTCCAGTACTCCGAGACAGCCGAGAGTATTTGGAAACAATTGGAGCGTAGGTATGGGGCTATGAATGGTACTAAGGTGTTTGAAATAAAAAGGAGTTGGCCTCCACACAACAAGGCTCCCTCGACATTGCATCATATTTCAATAAACTAAAGAAACTCTGGGATGAGCTGGGTACAATGCGTAAGAATCATGGAAATCGTTGCATGTGTGCTGCAAGAGATGGTATTCAAAAGGATGAGGAGGAGGATAAGCTTCCTCAATTCCTTATGGGCCTAAATGAAGTATATGTGGGAGTGAGAAGCAATTTGCTAATGATGCAACCTCCTCCCACACTAGATAGTGCATACACTATTCTACTTCAAATCAGAGACAAGTTCAACACATTCCTCAGCTGGTCCTAGAAGCTGCTTCTTTCAATGTGAATGCCAACAATAAAGTTTTTCCTTTGAATGTCAACAGTAAGACATTCCCTCCTAAGCAATATACTCAGAAAATGGATTTTGATCAGCCCAAGGGAAATATATTTTGCAAATACTATAAAAATCCTGGGCACCTAATCGACAAATGCTACAAGTTACATGGATTTCCACAGAATTTCAAATTCAATAAAGGGAAAAGGATGGCTGCTAATGTGACTGCTGAAGTTGAGTGTCCTGCAACAGCCTATACTCTACCTCAGTATAACTCACCTCAACTTTACAATGCTTTTGACCATGAGGAACAAGCTTCTTCAGTACCTGGATTGACAAAGCAACAGTATGCACAACTTATGTCCCTCTTGCAACAAACTCAAGTTCCTTCGGCTGTCGATTCTCAAATTAGCCTCATGGGATCTGCCAACTTTGCTGGTAGTACTTTCTCTTTGCCTGTTTATATTAATGATGATTCTCATATTTGTTTACTGTCTGGTGCTAGTAGAAATGTTTGGATTATAGATAGTGAAGCTACTGACCATATGACCTCTAACAAAAACATGTATTATAATCTTACTCCACTTCCTACTCCTTACTTGGTAACTCTTCCCAATGGTTACAAAGCAAACGTCATTTATACTGGTTCTGTTACCTTGTTCCCTTCTTTTACTCTTCATAGAGTCCTATATATTCCTAGTTTTCAATATAATTTAGTCTCTGTTTACAAGTTGATTCTGCAAATTTCACTGCATGGTTTTGTTTACTTCCTCTTCATGCCTTTTGATACAGGCTCATTTCATGAGGAAGCTTCTGGAACTTGGTAGACAGGACCAAGGCCTCTACAAGCTCCTTCATCCCAATGAGTCTGATTCTAGTCTTAGTTGTCCTACTTCCGTTTTAAATAAAAATGTGTAATGTCTGAATAGTGGTGATAGGTCTCTTGCTAGTACCAAACAATCTAATTGTGTTCCTTTACTTTCTAGTAATGATGTACCTAGTATAAACAAGCATGATGTACTTTAGCATCATAGGCCGGGACATATTCCATTTGCTAGAATGAAAAATATTTCCTCCATTTCTGCTCAACTATCTTCTAAATAATCTTTTGTGTGTCCTATTTGTCCTCTAGCAAGGCAGGTAAGGCTGCCATTTCTCCAAAGTAACTCAGTTTCCAAATGTCTGTTTGAGCTCATTCATGTTGACACCTGGGGTCCCTATAATACTAACACATACTCTGGTGCAAAATATTTTTTGACCATTGTGGATGATCATAGCAGGGCAACATGGACTCATTTAATGCACTCCAAGAGTAATGTTTTCAATTTGCTAAAAGCCTTTATCTCCATGGTCAAAACTCAATTTAATCTTCCAGTCAAGGCCATTAGGAGTGATAATGCCTTAGAAATTGGGCTTTCTACTTCTACCATACAATATTTCTCAGACAATGGGATCATTTATCAAACAAGTTGTTCTCATACATCTCAACAAAATGGGATTGTTGAAAGAAAACATAAACACTTGTTAGAAACAGCAAAAGCTTTATTGTTTCAGTCCAAACTACCTTCCAAATTCTGGGGGATTGTATCTTAACCGCAACATATTTAATAAATAGATTTCCTTCCACTGTTTTGCATAATAAAACCCCTTTTGAAATATTATATGGGAAAGCTCCTTGTTATTCCCACTTAAAGCTTTTTGGTTGCCTTTGTTATGCCACTGTCCCTAAATGTAATAGGGATAAGTTTGACCCAAGAGCTATACCTTGTATTTTCCTTGGTTACCCTTTTGGTAAGAAAGGATTTAAGTTGTATAATATGTCAACTAAATCTGTGTTGATCTCCAGAGATATCATTTTTCATGAGTCTATATTTCCTTACTCCCTCTCCTCATCTTCTCCTAGTTAGTTTCCTGTTTTCTCTTCTGATGATAGCTCTCCTCTTTTGTCTTCTTCTCTACTTGTTTCAACTATTACTGATGTTGGTCTGCCCACTCCTCCTGATTCCTATACTATCTCAACACCTATTCCACCTTCTCCCAATTCTACTGATGTTGTTCTGCCTATTTCTCTTGATTCCTCTACTGTGTCAGCACCCACTACTGCCCCTTCAGCTGTTCCAAGTCTCAGTCTTCTCAGCTTAGGAGAAGCAACATGCCTCATACTCTTCCTTCACACCTCAATGATTTTGTTGTCCAGCTTCCTCCTTCCCTCTCTAACTCCACTGCTACATCCCTTTCTGCTGCCCATACAGTTTCTTCTGAGCCTCATTCTTATATTTAGGCTGCTTCCAGCCCTGCTTTGCAATAAGCTATGAGGAAGAAGTTTCAGGCTCTAGAAATTAATGGCACTTGGACAATAGTTGAATTTCCCCAAGGAAAGAATGCTATAGGATGCAAATGAGTGTATAAGACTAAGTATAAAGCTGATGGTAGTGTGGAGAGGTACAAGGCAAGGTTGGTTGTTAGGGGTGATACACAAGTGGATGGTGTTGATTTTCATGAGACAATTTCCTTGGTGGTAAAAATTGTGCACTATTAGATGCTTAATTGTTATTGTTATTAAAAAGAAATGGTCTCTTTTTCAATTGGATGTCAACAATGCGTTTCTTCATGGTGATTTGGATGAGGAAGTGTACATGAAACTTCCCCCTAGCCTAACAGTTGCTTCTACCTCAAATTCTTATTCTCCTCTTGTTTGTAAGCTTCAAAAGTCGGCAAGCCTCCCGACAATGGTATGCTAAGCTATCTCAAGCTCTTTACACTAGAGGCTACACTCATTCTTTGAATGATTATTCTCTTTTCTTTAAGAAATCAGCTTCATCTACTGTCTTACTTGTTGTTTACGTTGATGATACAATTCTAACTGGTGGTGATATTGTTGAGATAGCTGCTCTCAAACAATTCTTGGATGACCAATTTAAAATCAAGGATTTAGGCTTGCTTAATTATTTTCTGGGCATTGAAATTTTGTATGATGAGTTTGGGGTTCTTCTTCACTAGAAAAAGTTTACTTCTGATTTAATTTCTGAGTTTGGGTGCACTGATGCTTCAACTGTAATCTCTCCCCTTGAGTTGTGTGTCAAGCTAACATCTAATCAGGGTGAGGTGCTGCCTAATCCTCAATCTTATAGAAGTCTCATTGGAAAATTGAATTTTCTCACCCACACTCGTCCAGATTTATGTTTTGCTGTCCAACATTTAAGTCAATTCCTCAAGTCTCCTCGCATTCCTCATATGGTTGCTGCAATGCATATCCTGAGGTATTTGAATGTCACACTTGATGTAGGGGTGTTTCTTAATGCTTCATCAGATTTTTCACTTCAGGCCTTTTGTGATAGTGATTGGGCAGCTTGTCCTGAGTCCCGCACATCTGTTTCTGATTTTTGCATATCTCTGGGGGGCAGCCTTATTAGCTAGAAATCGAAGAAGCAGGCCATTGTTTCTCTATCCTCAGCAGAAGCTGAGTATCGAGCTATGAGTAAAGTTGTGGGTGAACTTGTTTGCTTGGTTCTTTTGCTTGCCGATTTAGACTTGCCTATCTCTGCACCAGTTCCTGTTTTCTGTGATAACCTGGCTGCACTTCATATTGCTAAAAACCCAGTTTTTCACGAGCGTACAAAACATATTGAGGTCGATGCCATTTCATCCGGACTAAGTTGGTTGATGGTCTCATTTCTTTGCATCATGTTGTTACTTCTTCTCAACTTGCTGACATTTTTACTAAGTGTTTAACAGGTGGCCATCATCGCTTCTTACTTGGCAAGTTGGGCGTGGTATCACCCTCCAACTTGCGGGGCGTGTTGGAATTACATAATGAACACTTATCAGTTAGTTTGATTAGCTAGTTTTACTTCAGTTCTTTTGTTCAGCTTTGGCCCAAAGTTTGGCCCAAATATATTTATAAACTTCCGGGTTACAGCCCATGTAGAAGAGTAGTGAGTTTACAGTTTTGCCCCAAGTATAAATATAGGTCCTAGAAGACTCTGTACAGATGAAGAAAATGAGAATGGAAAATATCGATGCTTTCTTCTGAGTTTTTCTCTTTTTCTCTTCTTTAAAACTATATCCAATTTCATACGATTGTTAATCTTCACATAAAGTGCATGTCCAAAGACTAAACAAGAAGCCTGATAACTTTAAAAATATAAATCATAAAATTATAAAGTTAGAGTAAATTAGAAGTTAATATATCAACTAAGGTGATTAAGGACTTCTATGGGCAGATTTTCTTCCTTTTTTTTGAGTTGCTTAACTATGATAAAAAATCATCATTTTCAGGGACTTATACTTTTTTCTTTAACTTTATTATTTAACTCAAATATAATTTAAATGTAAATATGTAATATTTATGTGTTTTTTGAAAATTTTGGTTATCGAGATAGAGTACACGCGCAACGCGCGTATCATAAGACTAGTTATACAAAATGAAATGGAGCGAGTAGTAGAGAAGTCAAAGTACATTAATAATCGTCTTTTTTATGTTTGCGTTGCAAAGAAAATTTACAGCATAAAAATTCAGGTAAAGGATTTATGATCTAAGATTTAAGGTTCATAAATTAAGTAAACGTTTTTTTTTGGATTTTGTAAGGGGCAAAACTTAATAATAAGAGGAATTTTACTGTAGTAAAGTTTTTTTCTTCCTGATTTTTGTGGGGGCAAAAGAAAAGATATATTGGTAGTGGGGAGGAGAAGAAAAGTATGAGTGCTGATTGTTAATCTTTTTTGTCTTGTTTCTTTATTTATAACTTTTTTATATTTGTTTTATATATAAGCACGTAGATATACTTAGTGCTAATTTAATTAAAAAATAAAATTAACAGAGAAAAAGACAAAACAATCCCTTATTTATTGGGGTTGGTTCAAAATATACCTTTAAATATACTTTCATATATTTAACAAACTCTTACTGTTAAATTTTACGTGAACCGTGAGAAAAATGATTTAACCAGAGGAAAATTCTGCAATATTACTTACAATAATTACTGCCATTTAGCCGTTTCTATTGGCTAGCTAGTGATACAGTAATTATATACATTACCATTGTACTAAAATTTTGCACTACCCGTATTTTTAACATATTATGGGTGTGTTTGGTATGACGGACCATTTTTCACTATTTGGTTGCACAAAATATTTTCCTAAATATTACATTTTCCTAAAATTGGAGAAAAATGAATGCCCTAGAAAGAGTTAGGAAAACATATTCCAAAAACTCCACCAANCTTCCCGATGCCCCCTCCCCCCGGCAAAAAATATTTTTTTATATTTTCTGTTTTGATTTTTTTATTTTTCAGTTTACAGGTTCGAAATTTTGCGAGTTCCAAAGTTATGAGTTTGGAAGTTTATGTGTTTGGAAATTTGCGGGTTTAGAAATTATAAAATTTACGGGTTCGAAAGTTTAGCGGTTCATAAGTTTATATATGAAATTTGTGGGTTTGGAAGGTTGTTGATTCAAAAGTTTATGGCTTCATGTTTATTGCATCTAAATTATTTATGAATACTCTTGAGAAGTTATTTTTCTTAATTTGCATACCAAAAGCCGAAAAATGAGAAAGATTATTACTTGTTTTCCAAGAAAATATTTTGTATGAAAAACATTTTCCGTTATACCAAATGTATATATTGCAAGTTACTAATTTCATTTTATGAAAAATTGCTTATATATAATTTAGTGATATGAAGTTTAAACTATATTAGATTTTCATTGTAGCCTCAGAAATTGATATTGAATATATAGTCGTTCAACGCTCTTTTGGAGATTTCTGTTGCTTTTGAGAATCAAATATAAAAGGAAAAAAGTATATATAGTATATTGAGTTATACTGGTCATTCTATGAAAATTAATAGAGTTATTCGTCGTACATGTCGCTTCTCTCTAAGGGAATTACAAAGACATCTGTATACAAATTTTTTATCGCTCATAATGATTTTTATATATTTACTATTCTTACAAGGATGTAATGCAAGTTAACATTAATAAAAAGATTGATAATATTTGTCAAAAGTTTGATATATGATAAAAACACAAGAATTTACAGTAGTATTTGGTTGAAAGGAAGGCTCATGGTGCTATTTACCCATCGGAATTGATTAGTAAAATTAGACGAGGTGTGCATCAGCTTCAGTCACACAGAAAGGTGATAAAATTATTATATCTTAGATTTATGGCCTAAATATATTTAATTTTTATTGTAATCAAATTATTAGTCAATTCTATTTTCCCGAAAGCATGAACAGGTTCGACGACACTGTTACTTTAGCCTTTCTATTGTTGTGTCATTGTGGCTATTATCTTTTTGTGTTCACTTTAGAGGTTTTGTTTTGATATGACTTATGGTTTAGCTTTTGAAAAATTAAATATCGAAAAGTACCTTAGTATTGGAGCTTTAAAACTTATATGCTTCGACTATCTTTCAAAGCAAAATTAAAAATATATTTAGTTTTCGCAAAACTCAATTTAAATTATTTGTATTATTCGAGTACTAAAAAGTATTTCGTGAATGAAATAATAATATTTTGCAACAAATTAACTAGTTACTTATAATATCTTACTCCCTCTATCTTAATTCATATGTTCTACTTTCTTTTTTTATCTATTTATAAAAGAGTATCACAGTTTTATATTTAATAGGTTCTTAAATTTTAATATTTTTATTTTATCCTTAATGACACTCCCTTATATAATTAAAAGGCATAACGTGTTTAAGACTATAAAATCAAAGGAATTTTATTTGTCATGTGTTATATATACCATTTATTTAAGACCATAATATTTTTAATTCCTAAATTTGGTGCGCAGTCAAACAAAGACGTATCAACTGAAAGAGAGGAGGGTGTAAAGATTCTATTAGCTCACCTATTTAGAGTGCCATGCTAATAACGCGAAGGTCGTAGGTTCGTGACCTACACGGGCCATTCATAGTCTATATATGTCAATTTACTTTATTACTGTAATTGTTTAAAGTACATGGTAAGCGTAAGGTTTGCATATATATTATCCTTCCCGGATCTTATACATGAAAATATACTGAATATGTGTTATCGTAGAAAGGGCGTAAAGACTATTAGATTGTATAGAGACAGTAATTCCCAAATTTCAATTAGGTTACTACTTTTGCCTTTACCTTTTCCATTAGTTAGTGCAGTAATCAATCTCCAACAAGGACCCCCCTCCTGGTGACCATGAAAACCACATCTATCAATTTCCTAATGCCTGCCCTTCCCATCTAGCTCTCTCTAGCTCTCTCTCTCTCTAGCTCTCTCTAGCTCTCTCTCTATAAAAGCATATAACATCTAACCAACAAGAAGGCTCCTCCTTGGCTCCTTCTCTTTCTCCCCACTCCCAATCTACACTTTTCACACCATGACTGACCCTAACTATCAACCAAATTTCTACCACTCCCAACAACAATATTGGCTCAAATTCAACCCTAATAATACTCACCATTTCCCTTCTTCTAACTCTAAACCTCCTCCTAGTTTCCTTCACAACTTCTACTCATCTAATTATCAAAGTAGTTACAATCACCATCCTCCTCCCCCTCCTTCTCCTCCTTTGAAAGAAGCCCTCCCTCTCCTCAGCTTAAGTCCAATCAAACATGATCGTGGCGATGAAGTAGTAGTTCAAGAACCAGTAGATTGTTGCACTTCTAATATGGATGTGGACAATAAGATCAAGAAAGCTACAGATCATAATTGTAGTCCTAAAAATGATGCTGCTGGTGAACAAGAAGAAGAAGAAAATGATGAAAATGATGTTACTGTAGCACTTCATATAGGTCTACCAAACCCTAGTGCTGCTGATCTGGCTTCTATTCTCTCTTCTAATAGAGATGAAGAAGAAGAAGAAACTTATCATGATCATGATAATGATGTTACCAATATGAATATGAATATGATAAACACAAGACTCAACAAGGGACAGTATTGGATTCCCACTCCTTCTCAGATTCTTATTGGTCCTACTCAATTCTCTTGTCCTGTTTGTTTCAAGACTTTCAATAGATACAACAACATGCAAGTGAGTTCTCAAAATCTCCATTTCTTTTGTTTTCCTTAAAACTTGTTTTTTTTTCTAAATTTTTTAGGAAGAAGTGAAACAGTGAGAATTGAACTCACATATATTGTGTCGGCGACTTTGTATCTGTACAGGCCTTGGCGGTGTCTGTTTTTTTTCTCTTTTATTTGTTTATTTTTATTTTTACAATTGACCTCTTATTATCAAGAACTTGATCTTTTTCTTTTTCTGGGTAGGAGAAAATGAATAACTATATATTTCAAGTTTCTATACATCTTATTGGATTTTCTTGTGTTTTGGGGCTTGAGATTTTGAGTATACAACCAGATCCAAAGAAAGAAGATGGTCAGTAAACCTCATTTATGTGATTGAACAAGACTTGGGCGATGTTCTTTTTGCTTTGAATTAGTACCCTGAAATCTGTGCTCAACAGTTAATTATTTCAGATTGATCTATTCCCATATTTTCAGGATTTAGTTCAATTTGTCCTTTAAAGACCTACAGTCTGCAGCCAAAAGAGATGTCAAAATTTTTTCTTACCTATGACTTCAAGATTTCAACCCCTCCTGAGGAAAATTACTAAAGGAAAATTACAAGATCAGCTTTCAATTTCCTTGAAAACTTGATCTTGATATGATTAGGCCAAAATTCTACTGTGCTAATTAGGGTAAAACTCTGAATTCTTTTGAAACTGTTCATTCGGGATATTACTGTTCATAGTAAAGATTCAGAAGCTACCAAATGAGCGGATACATGTTCATTCTCACTGTTTGGCAGGCGTATTTAATGTCAGATTTTTGCACCTTTATTTCTTTTCTTTTTTTGTATTTTTATACAGGAGATTTGCACATATTTTGAAAATACTTCTCTCGTTCCTTTTTTTCATTTTTTTGGTCGAACGAGAATGATCAATGTTGCTCTTGCATTACAAGAGGACATGATTCCTTATGGTATCACGTTACTTGAGTTAAAGGGTCGATTGGTAGGGTGCATAAGAATAATGCTGAATAGGCTGTTATTAGTAATGCTGGTATTAGTTATGCTTGCATTAATTATGCTGTATATTTCTTATCCAATGTTTGGTTTGATGTATTAAAGCATTGCACAATTTCTAAAAGAATTGTTTGTTTACAAAAATGCCCTCAAAACTAGTTCACACTCTAACTTTTTAAAAGAAACATATGTTGAGAAATATTGTGATATGAAAAATTTTACAAAAAATTATTTGATTTGTCTACCTATATTGTAAAATAAAATTAAATATTTATTTATAAAAAAAGAAAATATGCTAAGTATTATTTATTTACTAGGGATATAATTTTATTTCTCACTCTTTGGATTATTTTGAACTTACATTAATATACTAACTAGCATATTTTAATCAAGCATAAATTTTGAAGGACAATTTTGCCTTTAACTAAGCTAGTGCATGCGTTAAAACTCATTGCTTTGTTAATACCATTGTTTTCTATGCATTAGTTATGCATAGGATAATACCAAATAGGGTGTATAACTAATGCTTGCATAACTAATGCATATGTTCAAAATGTATACCAAACAATGTATTATTAATACACAAAGCTGATGCATTATTTTATCTAATGCATCCTACCAAACGACCCCTAAGTGTGTTATGTAGTTCCTTCCAACTCATCTAAAAGCTTATTTTGTTAGAGAAAATACATTTTCTTTTCTTAATCACGTCTTAGAAATGTAGACCTATTTCTTTTTTTATGGCCCAAAGATATAAGCCTTGTGTCCATGTTTTCATTGCTCTATTACCGTATTAAAATTGTGGTATTATCTCATTTAAAAGCTTAAACTCAAAGCAATTGCGATGTGTTATTTATACATGGGTTCATCTGAACCTAGTAAATTTGGCTTGGACCATGTATATGTGTTAAAAGATCTACTAAGTACAAATAATAAATTTCAAATAGGTTGTGTTAGAATCCCGACTCGAACGCACGATGTTCAAATCCTAGATTCACCTCTGCTAAAACTATCATAGAGAATACTTTATTAATTATGTTTTCAGCAACAACAACAACAATAACAACAACCCACTAGAATCTCACTAATGGGGTCTGGGGAGGGGAGAGTGTACGCAGATCTTACCCCTACCCCGAAGGGGTAGAGAGGCTGTTTCCAGGAGACCCTAATTATGTCTTCAGCACGGCTTCTATATATATAAAAAGGGCAGTCCGGTGCACTAAGCTTACACTATGTGCAGGGTCAAGGAAAGGGTCAGACCATAATGGTCTATTATACGTAGTCTTACCTAACACGGCTTATGAATATGTTTTATACATGCTGCAGATGCATATGTGGGGGCATGGCTCTCAATACAGAAAAGGTCCAGAATCACTAAGGGGAACTCAACCAACAGGGATGCTAAGACTTCCTTGCTATTGCTGCACTCCTGGCTGCAGAAACAACATTGATCATCCAAGGGCAAAACCATTAAAAGATTTCAGAACACTTCAAACACATTACAAAAGGAAGCATGGAATTAAGCCTTTTATGTGCAGGAAATGTGGAAAGGCCTTTGCTGTTAGAGGAGATTGGAGAACACATGAGAAGAACTCTGGCAAGCTTTGGTATTGCATTTGTGGATCTGATTTTAAGCACAAGAGGTCTCTTAAAGATCATATTAAAGCTTTTGGTCAAGGTCATGGAGCTTATGGCATTGATAATTTTGAAGAGGAGGAAGATCCTGCATCTGAAGTTGAACAAGATAATGAGTCTATACTGTGAAAATTCTAGCTCCGCCGGCAATTAGAGCAGTATATGAAGTGAGTTCGAGTAACTCGTCTAGCAAATGGTTCGGTCTATTTCTCTAGCTATTTTGTGCAGCATCTGAAGTTGAACAAGATAATGAGTCTATACCGTGAAAATCCTAGCTCCGTCACTGATCAGAACAGTATATGAATGAGTTCTGGTCACTCGTGTAGCAAATAATTCGGTCTATTTCCCTAGCTATTTTGTGCAGCATCTGAAGTTGAACAAGATAATGAGTCTATATTGTGAAAATCCTAGCTTCGCCTGATTAGAACAGAATATGAAGTGAGGTCTAGTCACTCGTCTAGCAAATGATTTAGTCTATTTCTCTAGCTAGTTTGTGCTAATTAATTAACCAAGATTTTAGCTAAAGCTTTTGTACATGTAAATATATTTTTCCTTTTGGTTTCAAATCAAAGTACGTTTTGTGACAATGATTTAATGTGGTCTTCGTTATTGTACTAGTGTCCTGTTTGCTCAATGAGTGATGTCAATTTGTATTCACCTTTTTGAGTAATTGATTGCTCGAATTCTCATGAGTAAGGACTAAAGTTTTTATTTGGGGACATGTAATGGTCGTACTTTACTTTCCTATATGGGATTTCGCAGAAACAAAACCATATGGGCAATGAACATGGGAAACACTTCCCCGTAAAGTATGGGAAAACTATCTCCATGAAACATGTAAGATATGTGGGACTTAATGTCCAACGCCAAATACCTAGGTTAATTTTTATTAATTATGCATAACTATAGTATTTAAGAAATCTTAATGATAACAAATGAAGCATCATATCCATAGAGAAGACAAAGATTTTGTTAGCTATCATTAGGAAATTTCTTGCAGACAACTGACCTTGTTTTGTTCGCCTGAGATTAGGGCAGCAGATTAGGGCAGCTCGGTGCATAAGACATTCAGTATTTATGTAGGGCCCGAGAAAGGTCGTACTTCAAGGGTTGTGATGTACTAGTGACTGCCTCCACGACTCGAACCAGCTGTGAAAGTTATATGTGAGGAGTAAAGAAAATTAATTAAAATTAAAAGTATTTCCTCCGAAAGAAATTTATTGATGAATGCATCACACATGTCATGCACTTACTGATACATATATGAACAAATTTCCGTTTGAGTGTAAATATTTCATTGATCATTCAACGTGTAATAAGTAAACTCAAAAAAGAAATAGTAACATGGGCGTTTTTAGAGAGAAAAATTAATAATGGGGTTGTACCGTTTTTGTTTAAGGTTGCACAATTGATCACTCTTAGTTTAAGTTATATATAACGTCAATATAAATATTTTCATATCAGAGGACTAATGATATATGGGGTGATCAAGATTAGCTTATCTCTTCATGATGTTAGTTTAACTGAAACGATCTAGCCAAAAATCAGCTATCTTTAAAAGAGAAAAAGAAAAGGATAGAAAGAAAATTAAACCAGCAAATAATTAAAGATTGTATCCTACTTTTATCAAATGATTATGCATGCATGCAATTATAAGGATGATCCAAGTGGGAAATCTTTTCTTCCTTCGCCTTTAATGATTCATTATCTTCGAATTAATTATTTTATAAGTCTCTTATATATACCCTGCTAGTCTCTTTATTTTTATTTTTTATTTTTTTAAGTAAGTCCACAAGAAAGTATCTGAAATAATGGGTGTTTTTGTTAGGCATATATAGGTCACTGGATAACAAGACAGGTAAAGAGTATATTTCCCAACCAATTTGCTGTTAATCTAAGCTTTTCATCTTGCAAAAAACAATCAGCTTTTGAGGTGCATATGATACCCTTTTCCTTTTCCTCGGTTAGTGGATGCATGTGTATCTTATAATTATATTCATGGAACAAATACCATTTCCTTTTCACTTATTCTTTTGGAAATTTGTGTTAAGTTTTTTGCCCTCATTTTCTTATTATATTTGAATTTTATTTTTCTCTTTTAAGGAAAGTTAAAGTATTATCATAATTGCTTTTACTTTGAAAAATATAATTCTCTTTCATATTTAGTTATTTTATTCCTTGTCTTGGGAGAAAATTTTTGGACTTCTATAAATTATAAATTGAAGACTTCCTTCCTACAACTAGAACATACAATAGCATCCACAATGTAGTCGTTTAGAGAGTTTTGTTTAGGGAAGAATTTTTTCTCAATAGGATCTTATGTTTTCTTTTCATATGTAGACAACTTGGCGAACCATATTTAATGCATATTTTAGTATTTCTTTTGTGTCCGATTAATCGCCAGGTTTATAACTATTAGCTTCCCTTGATACCGCTATTTTCGATCCCAACAATTTGTAACTCTAATATTAACAAGAGAGCTAAAAGGACCTTTTCAATATTCCCTTTAAACTAAAAGATTTAGGAAATAAGTTTTAAACGAAATTAAAGGAGTTGTACTTTTGGTGGGGAGAAGGAATCTTGAAGCAACAGTAAAATTGTCTTACTGTGACTTATAGGTCACGGGTTCGACCCGTGAAAGTACACAATAAATGCTTGCATTAGAGTAGACTGTCAACATCATATACCCCTTCAGGTTCGGCCCTTTCCCATGCCCTACGTAAATGCTGGATACTTTGTGCACCGAGCTGCCCTGCTTGTACTCCTGGCGAGTGCAAATTATTTAAGATGATTCACCTACATGGGATCAATTTGAAGTTGGAAATACAAGAGCATTTGTGTCGACGAGCTGGTTTCCGACAACTCGGGCGCCATAGCAAAACCATTGATAGTTTATTACTTACGCACAGTTGTCCGACTTCTGGCGAGCTAGTTTCCGGCAACTCGGACGTCATTGAAAAGCCGTTCATAATGTATCGAATTTTTTGTCCCTTAATCCTTAATTATAGGTTTGGGATTTGAACACTCATGAATACTTCGGCTTTACATGAAACGACTACTAAACATCGAATAAATAAATAAATATCTCAACCCAGAAGGTTAGGGCAATGAGTAGGATAGGTCAGGATTACTATAGTCCTCTATTTATTATAAAAATAGCACGAACTAGACAGTTTTCAGACTGGTCATTTAAAAATAGTCAATGTTTATAAAGTCATTAAAAAATAGCCATTATTTTGTTGCAACAGGGATCGGTCCAGCATAATATACTGAAGATCAGTGCACCTATATATGAACTTCTAGCATATTATGCTGGAACTCTAACACGCGGAAAGTTCCAGCATAATATACTGAAGATCAGTGCACCTATATATGAACTTCTAGCATATTATGCTGGAACTCTAACACGCGGAAAGTTCCAGCATAATATACTGGAGATTGGAGCACCTGTGTATGAACTTCCAGCATATTATGCTGGACCGGTATATTATACTGGAACTCCAGTACTATATTATGCTGGAGTTCCAGTATACTTATGCTGGAATTACATTATAATATACTGGAGTTCTAATATACTTATGCTGGAACTCCAGTATATTATGCTGGAGTATTTTCCGGATTTTGAACAGTGTTTTCGTTCAGATTTATCTTTACATGAAAAATGGTTATTTCGATTACTTTTGAAACTGTGGCTATTTTTGAATGACCACTTATAAATCTGACTATTTTTGAATTTCTCCCATATTTATTCTCTTATTATTTGGCTCTCCAATTGTAACATGGTATATCAAAATTGTTCATATTTTCTTTTAAAAGGCTTTGAAATTTGGTATTGTATTTATCCCACATTTAGTTATTTAGTTATGAGTAATAACTAATACCAATATAATTAATTTTATACTAAATCATGGTATTAGCTATCTCATACACAAAGATCGAACAACTAATTTCTTGAAATATTCCAGCCCATTAATATCTTTAATTTATCTATCTCACAATTGAACCAAACCACCCCTTTTTGGTCGTGAGTTCGAGTCAAGAGCAATAAATGAGATCAAAGGTAATCAAAAATAAAATAAAAAACCAAACCACCCTTTAGTTTCTACTTTTGGAGTATATATTTGTGCCTGCATAAAGTTGCTTTGACAGCAATGATAGCAGTGGGGAATACCATGAATGTACCAAGCAAAAGATCTTGATGATCGCTGAGTATTGTCCCAGTCCACAGGGGAAAAAACAGTCTTTTGGTTGGTATGTAAACAATATATTATTAATACCTACTCTTTTGTTTGGGATCTTTACGCAATAGTTTGTCCAATTTACTATTTTTTCAGACGTTATGCATAAATTATATAATAATTATCCACAACCGTATATATTACACGTCAATGTTTTATTCAAGTAGTAAGGCCGAAAGTATAAGAACGTTATATATGGTCGAGTATTTGATTTATATATCTTAGAGTACTTTGGAACCAACAACAATTAGAGGAGAAGGAAATGTAAAATATAATAATAAAAGAAGTGCTCATCATGACTTGATGATAATTACTTCCTCCATTTCAATTTTCAAAGATACATGTTAATTTGACATGATGTTTAAGAAAAAAAATATTTCATTCGTTTTATTTTAACTGTTGCTTTAGCTAATTTTATGTTTATTAAGAAAATAATATGTATAAGATAGTAGCTTACTTAGTTATTTCTATTAAATATATTTTAAGAATTGAGAAGTATTAAAAAGAATTACTACTTTTTTAATATTAAGGATATAGTTGGAATAATTAACAAATTTAGTCTTGAATTCATATAGTGACAATTATTTTGGGATATTTTTTTAAGCTTTAATTTTGGATATTTTACTATGCTCTAGTTATCACAATAATCACTTTGACTAGATTTTACAAACCTTTCACCCTTGAAAAGTCTATTATGCCATTGACATTATAAATCATCCCATTTATGTAATATCTTCTATATTATATGCTATATAATATACTTTTATCCAGATATTTTATTTATAACTAAAATAATTTAATAATTTTTTATTTATTATTTTTATAATATATTCGTACATTTAATTTTTTTAATATTAATTTTTTAAGAGTATAAGTAGCATTATTAAATTTGTCAGTAACATTACCGGGAACTAATCTCAAGTTCACGTTCTTAATCATACTTAATGAAATATGTTTAATGAAAATTAAAAAAAATCAAAACTCATCGATTTATCAGCCAAGCCATACCCATTAATTTAATAAATAAAATACCCACATTTGAAAAATTACATATCAGATTAATACTCTCAAATAAATAATATTAAACACAAATGTCTTTGAAACTTCTTTTAAAAATTTTATTGACTATAAAAAAAAACTATCATTTGTTAAATAAATCTATTTTTATTATTTTAAATAAATATTTTTTATCATTTTTATATTTAAAATATGTTCATGTTTGAATATGATTAAACAAATTGAGCGCCATAACAAAAATTAAATGTATGGATATATTATAAAAATAATAAATAAAATAATTTAAAGTTATCTTAATTGTAAGTAAAATACCTACGTAAAAATATATTATATAGTATATAATATAGAAGGTATTTGTGATGACCCAAAAAATCATTAC